TGCGCCTTGGCTTCTCTTTCCGTCGCACCTGCCTTCAGGGCAGGCACGGGGCAGCAGCTGGAGGCCTGCGAGGTTTCTCTCGGCCGAGCGAAAAGGCAGCGGTGGAGTTGCGGTCGATAGGTACCTCTGCTCAAAGCAGATCAGGCCCGAACTAGGAATCAGTCGAGCCTGTTGCAGGCATTTCAAAGCGAAAGGTTCTAGGTGAAGCTGCTTGTAGCTGTGAGGAGCCGTATATTTGGATATTCAAATAGCGTAGTCGAAGCTTAGTTACCGTGCGAGTGGCAAAAGGAAGGCTAGGGAAGCTGACTGGAGAAACTGGCAGAAAACGCATCCTTGAATGGCATGAATGACTGGTTTCCCGTTTTGGCGTGTATCTGTTTCAGTAAAACATGAACCTGTGAGTTCTTGTTCCAGCAGAGAGGGCTACAGGTGCTATCTTTTTATGCCCACAAAAGGTCTCCCTGGTGTAAAGTCAGTCAGAGACTCCACAGACAGCAGATCTGCCTAGTGTTGCCTGAAAAGAGGACACGTGTCACACAGCATTGCCCCTCAGTGTCTTCCCTATCAATTTTAAAAGGTTCAAGGTAAAACAGGATACGTTGCCCTTAACTCTGAGCTACGCAAAGTTATCTAATGCAACTGAAGTCACTGTATATTTGTCTTTTCATCCCCCTTTCTGGCAGCAACCAGAATCCTTAAGAATTGCTTTGATGAAGGATCTCAAAATACAAATCTGACATGGCAGCATAAAGCGATACATGCATTGTGTCAGAAAAGTTTTAGAAGATACTTGGGTGTCATTTATTTAATAATTAAACACAAAAGTGTGTTACATAATGCTTCTGCCAAGGGAAAACTCAAATGCTGTATAAGCCTATAGTCTGTCATCCCCTGGCTTCAATCCGGTAGCAAAGAAAGGGCACTGAGGCATTAGCGAAGGCCGGAACGTTTTTGCCTGGCCCTCACAACCGAGTTCATACTTTAAAAAGCGGCTGAACTTGTCAGTAAAAGTTGACAGGAAGGAAGTCCAGCAATTAAGGGATCTGAATTTTACCAAATTAGGGAAA